AAATAAGAAACCCATCTATGCAGGTCTTGAAAATCCCTCTGCAGAGCTGAGGGTGAGAGGTACTACCCTCCACAGGCTAGAGCCATGACTGGGCCACCTGTATCCAGGCAGAGCTCTGAGGGGGTGGGGGGCGGGGGATGCCTACCTGAAGAGCATGCTGTGGCCATGCAGGTCAGGAGTCTTGGCTCTGAGTCATTAATGGCAGACCACTTGTGCATTTATCTTTTCTTACCTGCCTAGTATGGTTTGGGAGTAAATGATCCCAAAATGTATTGATTTAAGGCATTACAGTTCTCTTCTCTAACCTTTATATTTTCCACAAGTTGAGAAAGGGAAGTGCAGTCCCTCATCCAAAAGGGGTAAGAAAAGTCAGGGCAATATTACAAATATTAGAAAGAAAATGGCTTTCAAGAAAGCAACATGGAAAAAAATACATGTAAATAAGGAGGGTGAAGAATTTTTGTCTCGCACTTAATAAAACTTAAAACAAAAATGAAAGGCAAGTAAGTCTTTCTCTCCTTGTGCTTATTTCTCCTTCACGGATTGCCCTGTGCCTAACACAAATGTTACCCTTCGAGACACAAGAAAATAAACTACATCCGCAAAACAAGACACAGAGGATATACGAAAGGAATGTTCAAAGACACAAGGCGAGCTCTTAGAAATGAAAAGTGTAAGTATTTTTTGATCGATGAAAGGTTTGGGGCATCGCATTGATTACATTGCCCAGAAATCTTTGAAGACAACAATATATAAAAGAGACATTAGGAAAAATTGGAGGATCACTGGAAGGCACTCCAAACATCCCAATCCTAAGAGAGCAGAGGAAATGGACATCACAGAGAACTCCAGGCACGGGAGTAATGGCTCCAAGATCCTGAGGCAAGATGGCTCCCAAACCAGAATTCCATCCCCAGCTGAAGCAATCAGTGTAAGACTAGAATAAACAGATTTTCAGACATGCAAAGTGAAACTGTTCTCTTTCTCAGAAAGCTTAGGAAAAATAATGGTGTGGGATCCAGAGAATAGGAAATCCCATGTAGGAGAGATGAAGAACATCCCCAGGATGAAAATGAAGAGAGAGATCACAGGACATCAGCTGTGTCGCAGGTCCAGACGGCAAACAGTTGAGAAAGGATCTGAGGGGTGGACAGCTCCAAGAGGGATGCCACCCAAAGAAAGAATTGAGAGGAACTACACTTCTGTGTAGAGGTGGTTGATGAACGGGGATGAGGCACACAGAAAACAAAGCAAATGAAAAACAAGACAGTTATCTCCATGACAACGGGAAAGTGATACATCTATGAATAATATTTACATACATAATCACATTAATGCAAACAATGAATATTGATTTGGTCTGACGATTATGATATAGCTACTAGAGAGAAAGAGAGAAATGCAGATATGGGATGTGTGTGTGTGTGTGTGTGTGTGTGTGTGTCTGTAGGACAACAGCAGGAAGTCAATAGTAACACCAAACTAAGAACTTCAAGAAAGAGTGATATAAGCATGTAATTTAGGTTGATACTAGAAGAAATGGATAAAATGGTTGAAAGTGGTTTCCTCTGGCTGTTGAAATTGGAGAATGGGGAAGGACAGGGCTGAGGCCTGCTGTACTTTGTCATAAGTCTTACAGAATGATTTGACATTCTAAACTAGGTACAAGAAAAAATGATAAAAAAAATAAAATTGAAAAATGCTGAAAAAACACACACATGGGACTAACAATACCATACTTGAAATAACATACTTGATTCAGAATTGAGCTCCTCCATTTTAAATGCTTTATAGGAATTTATAGGCACTAATTCATCTACATCTGACAACAGTGTTATGAAGTAGGTATGGCCATTTTCCCTATTTCATAGATAAGTAAACTGAGGGACAGAGAAGTTAAGTATTTTGCCCAAGATCACCCAGCTCTAAGTGGTGAAATGGGGAGCAGAGTCAGGCATTCTAACTGAAGAAACCCCCACAAGGACTCAATCAGAGCACTTTACTGACCCAGAAGCAATTTTGAGTGCATTCTACAAATACTTTATGTAATGAATACTTCTTGCCCATGTATCAGGTGTTGTTTTTGGTACTGGGGATATACCAGTGAGTAAAGCAAAGACCCTCCTCTCATGAAGCTTAAAGGGAGGGGTAAGAGGGCCAATCAGGAAGACAGATCAAGTAGAGTCTGATGGTTTGGGTAGAGAGTGAGCACTTTTTTACATTGAGCAGAGACTTGAAGGAAATGGGGAGCAAGCCATAAAGATAGTTGCAGGGAGAGGGAACAGCCCGTGCAAAGGCCCTGAGATGTGAGTGGGGTCAGTGTGCTGGGGGAATAGGACGGGGCCACTGTGCAGGAGTGGGTGAAATGAGAAAGTGAGAGAAGATGTCAGGGAGGAAGCAAAAAGGTCCGGGCCAGATCACAGATGGCCTTGCAGGCCAACATAAAGACTTTGGCTTTTACTTGTAATGATATGGAAAACCAAGGAGGGTTGTATTTAAAAAATTTTAAGAAGATCTTTATTGAGGTGTAGCTGACATAAGCAAAATGCACAAAATGTACAATTTGATAAGTTTTAACATATATACATGTGAAACCATCATCACACTCAAGATAATGAAGATAGCCATTACCCCAATAGTTTCTTTATGCCCCTTGGGAACCCCTGCCTCTAGCTCTTCCCTGGCCCTCGTCCCATGGCCACACAACAACTCTTCTGCTTCCTGCCAATTTAACCTGCTATTGTTGTCCACTCTTTTAGACTGTCTTTTGAAAAGTCCTATGAATCACAATTATCATCACTTCATATAAACAATGGTTTGTTGACATTTACCTAAATCTTAATCAGTTTATTTGCTCTGCATTGATTCTTGAATCTAGATTTTTCTTGGGAGATCAGTTTTTGGAAACCCATCCTTTAAAAATTGTTCTAGTCAACATCTGTTGATAGTAAATGTTCTTAGTTTTTGAAAATCTGAAAATGTGTTTAGTTCACCTTCATACAGGAAAGATATTTTTCTAGATGCCCAGTTCTAGGTTGTCAATGTATGTTCACCTAGAAATCTGGAGATGAGTCTACTGTGTTCTGGTTTCCTTGTTGCCATGGAGAAATCTGATATATAGCTATCATGCCTTTGCAGACACTTTGTCCTTTCTTTCTGTATTCTTTTGAGATCTTCTCTTGTTTTTGGTGTACTACACTATACTACTAGGTGTGGATTTCTTTTTATTTATTCTACTTAGTATTCACTGTGCTTTCTGTATGTGTATCTATGAATTTATAACTTTAATCAGCTTTGGGAATGCGTAGCCAATACTCATTAAATATATTTTTTTAGCCCTTTTATATTCCTTATCAAAGACTGATTAAATATATCTTAGATATTTTTCCATCTCCTTGTATTTTTATGCTATATTCTGGTTTATTTCTTTGGATATATCTCCATTTCATGAATTATCTCTTAATAATCATATTTCTCATTTTATTTATTTTTTAAAGATTTTATTTATTCATGAGAAAGAGAGAGAGAGAGAGAAAGAGAAAGAGAGAGAGAGAGAGAGAGAACGCAGAGACACAGGCAGAGGGAAAAGCAGGCTCCATGCAGAGAGCCCGACGTGGGACTCAATCCCGGGTCTCCAGGATCACGCCCTGGGCCGAAGGCAGGTGTCAAACCACTGGGCCACCGGGGCTGCCCATATTTCTCATTTTAAATAATTATATGATTTTTATTCAATTTTGCCTGATTAATTCCAATAGCAATCTGTTGCTTGTTCATTTTATTTCTATAAATATTTCATCCATAATTATTTTCAAATATTTTATTTTTATTTTATTCATGAAAGAGAGAGAGAGAGAGAGAGAGAGAGAGAGAGAGAGAGAGAGAGAGAGAGGCATAAGCAGAGGGAGAAGCAGGCTCCCTGTGGAACACGGAGCCCGACATGGGACTTGATCCCAGGACCCTGGGATCATGACCTGAGCCAAAGGCAGACACTTAACTGACTGAGCCACCCAGGTGCCCTTCATCCATATTTATAATCTGTACACATTTTGTACAGATGATTGCTCTAATTTTAGAAGCTGCCATTCTTAGGAGTAAATACATTGGTTTTATGTTGACTATCATTGGGGGTCGACTTATATGTGTGACAGTTTTTGATTATCTAAACTAGGCTGCATAGATAGGATTTACATTAGGTTCTTCAGGTATCGAGTGGGTTCTCAGTTGAGGTCAAGTTGTCCAACATTGTACCTTAAAGCAATACTGCTTGCTTGGGAAGGTTAAACACAGCGACTGGCACAGTAGCAATGGGAAGCAATGGGATGGAGTGGTCTGAGGGTCTGAGGTCAGTTGTCTTGTTAAAAATGGAGTAAGTATAAATCTCAGGGTGGTCATTCTGATCAACATTGTGATGGCCATTTTCATCTAAATAAAAGTCAAGTCTCCAGAAACACCACATGCAACATTTGAAAATATATGTCTAAAACAACTGAGGCAAATTCTTTCTGTTAAAGAAAAAAAATAACATTTCTGGCAATATAAAATGAGTAAGAACCTAGAAGCACGTCTTAAAAAGAGTGTATTTTCTAAAGATTCATTTCTATCTTATTAGAATAAATATACATGTTGCTCTCTCATAAGGTCTAAGTACCATCTAAGTTTGGGGAAGAAAGATTAATTCTACTTTTTTAAATTAAAAGCTAAAATGATTATTCTAAATCTTGATCTACTATTCATTCGTTATGAGAAACAGAAATTTTCTTTTTAAAATTCATTCTTTATTTTTCACCAGCTTCTTCAAAATAGAAATAAAATGGTATTTCTCATTACTAGTAATCCTGAAACAGATTCTAATAAACGATGTGTAAAATATTTCAAACTGGCTCTTCAGAAGGCAACTTCAAAGGCAACTCAACTCTAACTCATCCATTCATATCGGTATGGGGGAAAGAAAAGGCACATGACTTAATGAGCAGAATTAAAAGTGGTTTTGAATTGCTTACCTGCTGGCTGTTTTCACAGAACAGTTTTTCTTGTGTCCTCTTTCAGCTCGGTTATCTCTCAGAAGCTGATGCTATACAAAGTGTTAAGACAAAGTTGTAGAAACAAAAATATTTTCATTATATTATTTTGTAATTAGAAGAGTGTGTTCTTCTCACTCAAAGGGACACCACTTGTGCACTTCTGTTCACTTTTTTTTTTCCCTACTGGTTTGTCTCAAAACAAAGACCACTACTCTTGCTGGAGATGCCACTGCTACTAAAACTGTTTTTAAGGGTTGGCAATCCAGCGCTGTCCTGACAGTGAAACTGCTCTTGTAGTCACTTAAAATACAGCCCAGAGCTGGAAGGTGTAGAACTCACTTATGATCCTAGTTCTCTGGAGTAGTCTTGGGTAAGTAATATAACCTCTCTTGTCAATGGCCTCTACCATTGCATTCAGCTGTGAATTTTCTGAGACTGTCATTTATGCTGACATAAAAGATCTAATATTTTCTCTGTATCTTCTGGCCTAACATGGTAAGGGAACACACTTAAAAACATTTGTTTTCAATGAAATTATTGGCTTGGAAATATATAATTAGAAAGTATGTATATATATTTGATCGCTTCCTCAAAATGCCTCACCATCCACTTGCTTTCACACTTGCTTTACCCTAACTAATTGGAAAGAAAAAAAACCCGAGTAGTCAATACTCTATACTATGTGTTCGCTCAAACTGTAGCTTATCTTATTTATGCAGAAATATAATTATACACAAGACTGGGCCAAAAAGAAGTTGCACAGTTTTTAGAAATTAACTTTTTAAAAAACTAGAAATCTTAAAAGTAATAATGCAGGATAGATCTAGGTTCTAACCCCAGCTGTGCCAGGAACTGACAAGTTACTAGGTTTTTTTTTTTTTTTTAAAGATTTTATTCATTTATTCATGAGAGACACGGAGAGAGAGAAAGAGAGAGGGGCAGAGACACAGGCAGAGGGAGAAGCAGGCTCCATGCAGGGAGCCTGATGTGGGACTCGATCCCGGGTCTCCAGGATCACACCCTGGGCTGAAGGCAGCTCTAAACCGCTGCTCCACCAGGGCTGCCCAAGTTACTAGGTTTTAATAACAGATTTGCCATTCACAAACTGGATGGTCTTAGGCAAAGTATTTAACCCGCATGTCCATCTGTAAAATGGAGATAATATTATCCACTGGTAGGGTTGTTGTGAGTGTTAAACAAGATAAATCATAGAAAATGCTTAGCGCTAACACCAAAACATAAGTGGAGAGCAAAATGGTTCAAATACTACAATTATGATAATAATTAATGAACCTGGTTGTCAGTGGGTATTGTCTTACCAGTAACAATACCTTTTGATAAAAAACTACTTTAAACTATTTAATGACATTATTTGGAATCAATTATTAGTGTCATTTGGCCATCTTTGAGGGAGAATAGAACTTAATTAGATCATCAAGGATGTGGTTAGGTCGTGTATTTTTCCAGGACTCTCTTAATTAAGTAAGTGTACCTTAATTTCTCCTGCATAGCTACTTCGTTCTTTCCCCTCTACTACAATCCATCCTGGTCCAGACCATCATTTGCTCTTACTTGCAATGGCCTCCCTGCGCTCTTACTTGCAATGGCCTCCCTGCCTCCAGACTCACTCCTACCCAGTCTATTCTCCACACTGCCGCCAGTAATTCTAAAATTAGATCTGGTTCCATTACTCTCTGCAGAGAAACCCTCAAATCCTGTACAAGGCTTTCATGGCCCTTCATAATTTGATTACATTTCTAAATTCTTAATTTATTATGCCTCCTCCTATCCCCAACCTAACTAACCTTCCTACTTCCTCTTCTTCTTTTTCAAAAACTTTAATCCCAGTAAAGTTAACATGCAAGTTATATTAGTTTTAGGTGTATAAAATAGTGATTAGGCAATTCTACACATTACTTAGTGCTCATCGTGATAAGTCCACTGTTATTCCTCTGCGCCTATTTCACCACCCTTATACCCACCCCTCCCTCTGGTAATGGTCACTAACGCCCTTCTTTCTAAATTACATATCCCCACCATATGGAACTTTTTAGTTTGGGGTGTGTACCACAATCTCGCTCACCTTTGGCCCTTTGCTTCAATTATTCATTCTACTTGCTCCAAGGTCCAGCACAATGTCTGATACAGTTTTAGTGCTCAATAACTATTTGTTGAATGAATGAATGATTGAATAAATGTGATAAAGAAATAGGGAGTGAGATTTAGTATCTGATAGGTAGCTGAAGCTCTATCTCATTATCACTACATATAGAAAATGGCAACCATTTATCTTAAGTCCATTAATCTGAAAGTGTTTCAATTTAGAAACACTTCGTACCATGAAAACGAAATTGTTTCTGAAAATAAAAATAATTAATTACTTTGGCATTTCTAAGTCTAGTGCCTTTTAAAAAATATATATACAAACCAACATTTGTGACACAGATAGCCAGAGGTGAGATGATAAAATCTCTATGTCCACCTGAAATTAATAGTAGTGGTTAACTAACTTTTCTAATTTTAAGATAAAAGACAGATATGTGAACGCTGTTTCTGCAGTTTGTTAAGACAGTTACAGCAAAGAACTCAAAATCCCAAACACAACTTTATGAGATAAGAATTCTATAGTTTAGTTTTGAAAATGCAACTATAATGACCAAAATAAATATTAGGCTCTACCTACTTAGAGATCTGAATAGTTCTCAGAGAGGCCACCATTTGGATCAACTTAAATGAGACAGCACCTTCTCTGAACTCTGTTAGAGCTCCTTCTATGAGATTCATGTGAGAATTTCTTCTCTTCCTCAAATTTACAGTTTTGATGGACTTTATGTATAAAAGGAGACAAATACCTGAATTATGAAATGCAATGCTTTTATATTAAAAAGCCATCACAAATTTTCTCACTTTATCAATAAAAGTATAAATCTAGGTGCACCTTTGCAAATTTAAAATCAAACCCAGATAAAAAATACAAACTCAGATCTAAGGTCATGAATCCAGTACGTTAACATGGGAGGCTAGACCTTGTAAGGGGCAACGATGAAAAAAAATTAATCCAGAATGTTATTAGAATAGAAAACATATATTTGTATTTGAAAGATTCTCAACACATTTCTGCTATGGCCCAAAGAACAAGAAAAAGGACGGACGGCAGGGTCAGGGTGGGGTAGGGGGCCGAATCAGGTCATGAGTTCATGGTCAAAGACACAAGGGTTCTTGAGCTCTGCTCTAAGAAGCAAGAGTAGCTTATCAGGTTTTGAGAAATTCCTCACTCTTCTTACTGATAATTCTTCTCTTTCCTTGGCCTACTATCCGTGTCACAAGTGAGGTCAACTTTCAGGATTCTGACTCAACCATGTCAACTCTGATTAATAACAGAACTTCTGAATATGGTGCGAAGTGCTTCTTACCTTCCAACTTTCAGATTGCTGGACTTAGGCCAGATGGAGACAGAATTCCCTGATTAGTGACCTGCAGATGTATATTAAAAAATGACTCACATAAGAATTACATTAAACTTCATAAACACAAAACCTAGCGCAATGTGAGGTTTATAAATGGTTCACAATTTTTAAATCTACGGAGTTAAATCAGGAAGAGAAGTGTTCCTTGTGGATAATGGTTCTTACTATTGAAAAGGGAGCTGGGAATTTCTACAGCTCTTCATGATATTTTTACAAGATTAGTAGATGTTTCGAATCCATAACACAAGGGAAGAAGCCAAGAGAAGAATTCTTCCACAGTAATCCTGTCTTTACCACCTGATATTCAGAGGTGTTCACTTAGGACTGTTTCTGTTAGTGGCTACTTCTCAGAAATTTCTCAAATGCCTACAAAAGAGTTTCAGGTCTCCTCACACATGGGCTCTCAGTGTCCTCACCCTGAAAGGAAAACTAAGTACTATCTAAACTGTGATTTATGACACCTTAAGATACTTGTAAATTTGGTCAAAATGTCAAACCATCTGATGTTCAAAGAGGAAAAATTAGAATTCAGTAAGACCAGAAAAAAAAAAAATCTTCATATAGCTTTCTTCTTCCTTCCACTTCTGAACTGGCTTTATTTCTCTTTTGAGGCCTTTGTAACTGCCCTCTCTGTGGTTTTCTCAAACATTTCATAACCTTCTATCATTATTGCCTTCCTGCCCCAGATGACAACCACCACCATGTGGTTTTTCTAAATACTTTCTTCTGTAAAGCTAGAGAGTACCTTATGGATAGAGGCTGATGGATAACAGTTATTTACTGAATATGTAGTACAAGAGTGAGAAATACCCCTGGTGTCCGTGGATATGGGATTTAGCACTAAAGAACAGAAAGAGGAACTCTAAGACAGGGGAGGTAGAAAGGCATGGGCTTTCCAAAAAAAAAAAAAAAAAAAGTGGGGTTAATGTCATAGTTTCTTTATGTTGCTAGGTGGGTATAGGAAAAATGAAAGGTGATCATGCATGCTAACAGTCATTCATTCAACAACATAGTGAAGGATTTTACACTTCTTCACCATTTTGCATTTCATCACTTGCACTGAGGTCCATTTAGCAAGGTTTACTGTGCTAGAGTTGGATTTGAGTGGAATTAAATTTTTCTCCCTCAAAATATAAGTGGTCTGTATGTGTGGTTTGTACATGTACACAGAGGAGCAGACATTCCTCAGAATTCGTTCCATATTTACAAATTTGCCTATCTGCTAAAATTTATTTGTACTGCCAGCATCAATACTTCTGACACTTTTGCAGTCCTTCACCGACATGTGCAAGGTGGTAAAAATTTGGGTCTGCTGTTTCACACATTCTCAGCTGAGGCCTGGGAAGTCCATGCTTTGCTTGTTTCAGCTCTCATGGTGTAAACAAGTATCCTTTTTTTTTTTTTTTTTTTGCAGTCTGTATAGTGCTGCATTTTTCCCATTTTTGTGTTCTTGTTTTTGATTTTTATCATTTAAAATGGTCCCCAAGTAATAGCCTGAAGTGCTTTCAAGTGTTCCTAAGTGCAAGGCTGTCAGGGACCTTACAGAGGAAATATGGGCATTAAGTAAGCTTCCTTCAGGTATTAAGAATCAATGATATATATTAAGGTATCATTAAACATAAACATACATCAAACAAGAATATCTATTGATCGATCAGTAAATGAAAACGTGGTGACCTCTCAAGAACCTAACTTTATATTTCCTGAGGAGCAGTGTCTCAGCATTTGCTACTTTACTGTTCACATGGACTTTAGAGAACATAGCTATTGCCCACAACAAGAATCAACTGTACTCATCAATTAATGATCTACATTCGAGACAGAAATCTGGAATCATGTATCAAAGTTTAAACAACAGCCAATTCAAAAATTGGTCAAAATGATCTTAAAAATTAAAAAACAAAAAAGAATTGGTCAACTTTCTTCTCTATGTGATATTGGCGTTAGTTGATTTTTAACTGCAGGAAGACAGCTTGGCTGGAAGCATCCAGTTATACTGTGATCTAAAACACAACTTTATAACATAACATTACTTTAGCATTTCTAAAGGGTAGAAAAAGAGCTTTAAAAAATGTATATTGGGATAATCTATATCCTGATATGACATTACCCAGAAGCAGGATCTTCTTGTAAGCATTATACATAGACATGAACCTTTTGGGAAAGCAGAAAATCTGATTCTTACATTCTGAATAATAAGATAAACATACCACAGATGAAACTTAGTCTGGTTACTTTCCAAATCTTTAGAAATAGTGGTCCATATCACATTATTAATGTACGAGGTATCTTTAAAGAAGATAATCACTCTTATGGAAAAGGGCAAGTTTGCAAAATACCATTAAAACTGAATTTACATGATATTTTTCTTTGCCTAGGCTCATGTGTGTTAAGAAATTAGTATAGTTTATAATGAAGTATTTAGCACCTTCCTTTTATAAGCAAAAGGAATGATGGTATATACAACCAACTGTGGCTCAGCTTAAGAAATAAAATATCATGAATATATTAATGTTACCAATTACCAAGTACAACCCCGTCTTTCCCTACCTACCTATCTACCTGCCCTTCTCAGAAAATGATCCCTGTGGATGTGAGGTTACATTTTCATGTAGTTAAAGGTATTTCTGACATATTGTATTTTTTTTGACATATTGTATTTTTGACCCACTTAAAAAATAACTTTTATAGTTCATAATAAAAAAAATCAACAAGGATGCCAAGTCTAAAATGCATATGCTTTAAATCTATCAAAAGTTTAAGCCCTAAATTACTATAGCATGGTGCAGACAGACAACTAATACATTCAAAGGAAAAAGAAAGAAAGAACTTTTTTTATATGTCAAGTTCACTGAAATGAATGTTCAGTTCTTGTTAAGGCGACTAACCATCGTGCTGCCATGTATACTAGTGAGCAATAAAAAAAAGAAAATAAAAAACAAACCCAAACCAAAAACCTCATGGAAAAATATAACATAAACTTGTAATAAACTATTACCATCTTCTAAACTTAAAAAATAACAATATTCTCTTGCTGGCTGACCTTCATGTCTAATACAAATGCATTTTTTTTTCAGCATATGTACCATCTTGATACTTTAACTTTGTGAAAAACAAAGGTAAATGATGAAGTCCCATGAACAAGAGAATCCCAGAGTCTTTCCGTGGCAGAAAGTGACTGAGGAGGGTGGTGGTAAGGGAGCATTCTGACGGTCACCGAGGATGATTCATTTCAGCAGTGTGTGAAGTACTGGAAAATCTTCTTTTTAAATAAGCTGGGGTTTATATCTTTTCACAGAAAGCTAATCTGCTACCTTGAAGGAAGATAGTTAAATATTTGAAAGAGACTAAGCAACTTCCTTTTGGATTAGAATGTTCCTTACCTGGCCATGCTCTGTCCTAGCACCAGGGCTAAACCAATGGCTGCAGAGGAAAGAGAAAACGAGTTAGCATGAGCCTAACTAAAAGCACACGCTTTCACACGATCTGCCTGCATGTGCTTTAAGAAATGTATTTGCCACCAGCAACACAGCCTTAAATATGCCTTATTTTAATGGATATTTCATGTAAGTCTAGACTTACACCAATTTTGACAGAATTGTAAGAGTGCTCATAACCCAGTAATTTTCAATTTAATAAGCAAACTCAGTTAGAATTACATTTCCATTTAATTATGTTAACATAAACTGCTGGGACTGTATTCATTTTATGAATCAATTCTGGTTACAAAATCTTCAAATGCTATCATTTACCACAACTTAATTATAGCATCGTTACAACAAATTATGACCTTTGGATTGCTGGAGTTTTAAAAAACATTAAAAATACCAGAATAGTATATCCTTTGGCTATGCTGCCTGGAACAATCACACAAAGCCCCTGATGTGAATTCTGGAGCATCAGCTGATGGTACCTTGCTTGAACCTGTTCCTTTCATTATGATGACAACTTGGGGTCTGGCTGAGAACAAGTTTGACAATGTTCAAAATATATGAGTTGCTGCCCAGTTGACACGTTCCCTTGCCCTGCATGGCCCACCCACGTTGCTTCGGCTGCTCCTTGGATCCCCAGTAGGGACCTATCTGCAAATACCTTTTCAACGGGAGTTGTGATTAGCTGTGTGCCCAGCCCTTTGGCAGTCTTCTAGACCCAAACTACTCATAAACATCAAGGAATATGAACTCGAGAGAAACACTGTGGCAAATAAAGCACTAAAAGCCTACAGAGAATGATACCACTATGATTATTAATGCTATTTGTTTCGTCAAGAACAATAATATTGAGTACTTCTATTTACCAAGCACTCTTTTGACACATGACATGTATGATTTTCTATCTTCATGAAAACCTTACAAGGCTGTTCTCGTGTTCCAGGTGCAGAAATGAGGTGTAGACATTAGGCTATTTGTCTGCGGTATGCATTCACCATACCATACTGCAGAAGGACAAGACACTTAACATTAAAAGGGCAGATTTCCTAAGACTTCTATGTAATCTCTAGCCTCTGTGTTCTAACACCTGGGAATAAACAGCCTCTACATTAATAGGATTTATCTATGCTCTTACTGGAACACTTTTCAAGCTTATAGACAGTGATGCTCCTTGGCAGGTCACATTCTACCTTGATGTGGAATAGACACTTTTGGTATCTGTTAATGACATCTGGATTAATTACCAACTAGAAAAAAAAATTACCAACTAGAAACAAATTATTTGCTGCAGTTACCTCATAATTTGACTACTATATTTCCCCCCTGCAATGGATTGTGCCTTTATGTGACCAATGTATGATGTACTAAATCATGATGTGTAAGTGATCCATTCAGAGCTCAAGATAGAACAAAAGATTTAATAGAACAAAAAAAAATCATTGATATGTTTTCAGATTATACATTAAAATTAACTTTTGAGAAACAACCACTCTGTATTTTAGTGTAGTATCAGAGAATATCCATAATCATCTGAAATGGAAAGGCTATCAAAGTACTTCTTCCTTTTCCAACTACTTATCTGTGTGAGGCTGGATTTTCTTCATATGCTTCAACCAAAATAGCATCTCATCCCAGGTTGAAAGTGGAAGCAGCAATGAATCTAAGCTGTCATCTATTAGGCCAGACATTAAAGTGATTTGTGCAAACAATGGCACATTCTCACTAATTTTTTGGGCTAAAAAGATCATTAATTTTCATTAAAATATGCTATTTATATTAACATGTCATGGGCTTACTACATATATATATATGCATATATATATAATTTCTTTTTTAGAGAGAGAGACAGGGTGTGCATGTGCACACATGCATGTGTACGTGGGAGTGGGGGTAGGGAAGGGCAGATGGACAGAGAGGGAGAGAATCTTAACCAGGCTCCATGCTCAGAGTGAGGCCCAATGTGGGGCTCAGTCTCATGACCCTGAGATCATGACCTGAGTTGAGATCCAAAGTTGGACACTTAACTGACTGAGCCACCCAGGTGCCCTTGGGCTTACTATATTTTTGAAATAAATACATAAAAACCTCAAATATTCTTTTTGTTACAAACTAATTCTTCATCTAGCTAGTGCACTAGCCCAGTAAACGGCAGCACCAATCTTCCAGTGGACAACTAAATTCAGCTTGGACACCTTTTTCTTTCATATTCAAATCATCAGCAAGTTATAACTTTTCTTGTACCTACTACCTTTAATCCATTTATCATACTGCAGAGCTAGAGTGATGCTTCAAAGTTAAATTTTTCAGTATTTCGTTATTCACACCCTTGCATCAAGCAAACAAAAAATAAACAAAAGCAAACTGAAGTCTGAAGTGGCTTTCCACAGCTTTTAGGAGAAAAAAAATCCCTAAATGGCCCACCAGGCAGTCCTTGCCTACCTTGCTCCTATCTCACTGAATACTCCTTCCTTCTCTGCTTGAGATTCTCTCCCTTTCCCTCTGCCCCTTCCACTCATGCTCTTTCTGTCAAATAAATAAATAAATCTTTATTAAAAAAAGTTCTCTTTTAGAGTACTTTTAGCTCACTGTATAACAATGCATTTGTGTGTATGTAAGTACACATTTACGTGCGTGCTTACTGATGAATGTCTATTTTCCCCAGTAGGCTGTGCCATGAGAACAGTGATGCTGTCTGTCTTGTTCATTATTGTAGATCTAGCACCTAGCACACAGTAGGACCTCACAGATATTTTCTGAATGGATGGATAAATGGATGACTTGAGATATATGGCAGAGTTTTGACAACTGGAGGCACCATATTATTCTATGAAATGAGAAGAACAGCACTGGCTTAGGTGGTCTTTAAGATTATTTTGGGTTTTCATGTTCTGTGGACCAGATGACCAGGATGTAAAGATATTCCTCATTAATTTTTTCTACAAAACAAAAAGTCATTCTAAAACTATGCTCAAATTATGCTACTAAACTGCAAATGTAAACCCAGGAAGTAAAGCCTGGTGTGGATTAAAATCATGGATTTTAGAATCAGAAAGATCTAAGTTTGAATACAGGCTCTGGCACTTACTAGTTAGGTGAACTGAGACAAATTACTTTTATTTTCTGAATGCTGGTGCAATACTGCGATTTATTTATAGGAAAAATATGTATTTGGTTACTCAGATGATCAAAATGTATCTCATCCTCTTCCATGGTTCCTGGCTCTGGCTCCCAAGACCCCTGGAATTTCCTAACTGTTGAGAGTCACAGATTGTTATGTTATGTTATTGTTTGTTATGTTAATGAAGTGGCTTTTGGACATTACCTAAGGATGTTAGCTAGTTGCCAGGGGCACCAACTTTGTGATTAGGGGGTTGGATTTTTCAGTCCTAACCCTTGACAGCTAGGGAGGGTAGAGGGCTGGAGGCTGAATCAATCCCCAGTGCCAATGATTTAATCAATCAGGCCTTTGTCATAGAGCCTCCATAAAAATCCAAAACGGCAAAGTTCAAAAAGTTTCCAGATAGGGGAACAGATGAAGATGTGGGGACAGTGGCGTACCTGGAGAGGACTTGAAAGCCCACAACCCCTTCTCCCATACCTGGTCTTATGCATCTCTTCCACCTGGCTGTTCCTGAGGTATATTCTTTTATAATAAACTGGTAACCTGGTAAGTAAAACATTTCTCTGAACTCTGTAAGCAAATTAAATACACCAAAGGAGGGTGTTGTGGGGACCACTGATTTATAGCAAGTCAGTCAGGAATACAAGTAACCACGTGGACTTGCAATTGGTGTTGTGAATTGGAAGCAGCTGTTGGAACCTCCAGTTTGTATCTAGTGAGTCAGAAGCACAAGTAACAGCCTGGGCTTCCCAGGGCATCTGGAGATGTGGAGGGCTAGGGGGCAGGGCAGTCTTGGAGGACTCAACTCTTAACTTGTGCAATCTGATGCTATGTCTGGGTATTAGTGTCAAAACTGTGTAGAAGCAGGACAGCCAGCTGGTGTCCTCTCTTGTCATGAGGAAAAGCCAGTGTCAGAAATAAAGTGTTCTGTACAAGTGTTAAAGACACATAGGAGAGGAAAAAGTAGGAGGGACAAATCTGAGTTTTCCCATTACATTTGGCTTCTTCTTCATCTATACAATATAATTAATCCTACCTCTCTTCTCTTACAGTATTGGGAAGCTTAAACAAAAGTAAGAACCTGGCAAAGAATAGGTGTTTGAAATAAGTAATTTTCTTCTCCTATAGTATACAGTGGAATAGAGTAACATGTGAACTTTTATTCTGTGAATTTTTGTAATAACTACCTATTTATTCCTAAATGTCAGTGGATACACCAGTGTTCATGCATAATATTTACAGGTTCCCCCAACAGTTTTAACATTTATCATACACAATAGGTGTTGAGTACATGGTTGTTGTTGTCTTTTTTTTTTTTTTTAATTAACTTTTGGTTGAGTTAATTTGGGTTTGTGACTTTCTAAAAGTCAAACGTCTATAAAAAGGGATTTTATAACTGTTTCAGAGAGGCAGCAAAAACACTGAAGAGAGTGGTGCATATGAAATTACTCTGAAAAATACATGCTGTCCAAATAAAGCATTAACATCCTAAAATGTTTTATACCTAGTTTAATAATTTTTCTGTATTTTGTATAAGTAACTTGTAAAAATGTCTTAACATAAAGAAGAACTATTCTTATCCTCATTCCATAGCTAAAAATTAAGACACATGTAAGCTAAATTGACTTCCCAAGGGAATCACAGTAAATCAGAGGAGGAATTGATCTGGTATATTTTATTTATCTCAATCGGAAGTTAAAGCCACTTTTACTATAAAGCAATGGATGCTAAATTTCAAAGTATGAAAGTATTCCCAATGAACGAACCTTTAATCTAGGCAAATCTTGCTTTCAGCAAACTCGGTATTTATACAAAAGATAAAATAAAGTGTAAATATTTGCTTTATAAAGGAATTCATCATAGGATTATAG